ATAATCTGCAATTTTTTACAGTGTGTGTGTCATGACTATGAGTGTGTATACATCATTTCATCTTTTGCTATAGTCCTTAAAAATGTCTCTTTCTATATGGTTAATATTTACAGTATTGTTGTTAGTTGCGAAGTCGGTCTGACCCATCACAACCTCACTGACAACGTTCCTCCAGGCCTTCCTGTCTTCTATCATCCTCTGGACTCCATTTAAGTGCACACCTACTGCTTCAGTGACTCCATTCAGCCACTTGATTCTCTGTCGTCCCTTTCTTCTTTTGCCCTCAATATTACCCACCATTAGGCTCTTCTCCAGTGAGTCCTTCCTATTCTTTAGGTGGCCAAAGTATTTGACTTTCATCTTCAGGATCTGGCCTTTTGAAGAACAGTCAGAGTTGATCTTCTCTAGGACTGACCGGTTTGATCGCCTTGCAGTCCAAGGGACTCGCAGGAGTCTTCTTCAGTACCTTCTCCTGGCCTTGAACTGAGGCCAGTTCAAAGGTCTCAATTCTTTGGCACTCAGCCTTTCTTATGGTCCAACTTACACAGCCGTACATTGCAACTGGAAATTTACAGTATATTAGAAGGGTCTATTCCCCCACAATGGGAAATTTGCCCCAAATGCAAATAACTAACTTGAGAGAGGAGGGTTCTCTTTAAACTACCAAAAGGTGTGAAGCATTCATTCTTTTTGATGGCTCTGAACCCTTTAATTATCCATCTCTTCCTTTTTCAATGACATGTATTGAAAGATTAAGTAAGATGGAGGCCGCTTCTCGTTATTAGCACTCTCTCAAGGCAATTTCACGAAGAAAATTCCCCTCCAGTCACAAATGCGTATGTGTCCTATAAGAGGATCAAGTTAACAATTACTCATAGACAAGTAAATCAATCTTTTTTCCCCAGTACAGAAGAATACCCACTACATGATGATCTTTGATGGTTTTGTCATACTGACATGTCTTGCATCACTGATTCTCTGCACACGATCTGTAATTAAAGGGATTTATCTACAAAGGGTAAGCTTATGTTTGTCAGTAACTCTTAATAAATGTAATTGCAGCTTCTCAACAGCAATTTCTCTTTTCTTGCCCACTCACATATCCTAGGAATTTGTGACTTTTTTCCAACATCACTATAAGAAAGAAGTATCTTTCTCTGATCTGATGGAATTTGTCAATGGCTGGTATATCATGATCATTGTTAGTGACCTTCTTACCATACTTGGTTCTACATTAAAGATGGAGATACAAGCTAAAGTAAGTAACTTGCATGCTGATTAAATGTTCCAGTTTTGGAAGTCCCAATTGAAATCTTATTGGCCAACCTGAATTTCTTATTTTCATAGTTCAGTTGAGTCTTCAATTGGGGGAAATGGTCAGATTGCGAAGACTGCTGCTCCAGAGAAGGGACTTTTCTAGCTGTATATTTTATCTATCCATGGTAATAGCATTATAAATTAGGAATGAGCAGTATCTCTGCACATAATCAAAAGTCAATTAATTTGTTGTGCAGTTGACTTGTGTTTTCTGTCCACCAGGAAACAGCCCTCTATAATATTTTACCCCATTTTTTTAATGTCATAATGCCATGATGACAAACTTATGGCACATATGCCACAGGTGGCAGGCGGAACCTTCTCTACGNATTGTTTGTATTACCCTCCCCTGATCCTATGTAAGCTGCCCTGAGTCCCCTCAGGGAAAAGGGCGGCCTATAAATGTTAATAAACCCTTAAACCCCTCTAGTATTTCCTTCTGTGCTTACTCCTTCAAAATGAAGTTTTGAAAGAGTCCAGATGCCTACAGAAAGGCTGCAACCCAAATTATTCAGGAATCCGCATTGTGTATGAGTTTGCAATTAAACTTGCATAAAACCACTGTAAGAAGAATCTGCCCCATCCCTGTTTTTATATATATAACAGGAGTTGCATTTGATGGTGTTGATCTCCGAGGTTACACAGTTTGGACTTTGATGGACAATTTTGAATGGGCCGTGGGCTTCTCTGAAAAATTTGGCCTGTATTACACCAACTACACAGACCCCAATCTAACTAGAATACCAAAAGAATCTTCAAAATATTACTCATCTATTATCCGCTGTAACGGCTTTCCAGATCCAGCTAATGGACCTCATTTGTGTCTGGAACCACAGCCTGAAGGTAGGTATATTGGAAGCAGAAAAGGACCAGCTTTAAGGGTTTTAAGTTTAATTTAAATTTAAAAATTATTACTATTTTTTAATTGTAATAATTGTACCAGTCTGGACACAATTCTATATGGTAGAAAAAAAAACCAAGAGATTGATATTTTCAGGAGGAAATTGCAATGCAATAGTCAGCTAGTATTGAGACGAAATACTGCCATATCTGGTGCTGAAAGGAACATCTTAATAGGCATCTCTGTAAAAATGCCAAAGCAAATTAATCTGCATCTATTTGTCTTTGATTTTGGAGCATTCCCAAGAGGAATACTCAAGAGAATAACCTCAGGGATTGAAGCTAGAATACAGGAATTTTCATTTTTACAACTATGAATCAAACCCAATGGGTCTTGACCCCCTATACATGCCACTGACAGTAACGATCTTCTCTAATTGAGGTTGGTTTGAGGTGTTTGAAAGCTACTAGGGCAATTTTTTAGGCAGCATACTTGGATGTACCAGTTTACAAATCTTACATTACTTTACCTTTCTAGGTATTACTAAACCACCAGTTACAAACACTGCTCTGCCACTCACAAGCTCAACAGCTGCTACTAGTAATCTGCCACTTACAAGCCCAACAGGACTGGAAGATATCAAGAAAGTGCCATTTTTGGGACTGGACTTGACTTCATCTGAAGCTGAAATAACTCTTTATGTTCTATTTGCCTTATGCTTGCTGGCTATACTAGGTCTCGCTGGTTCCCTCTGTGCATACAAAAAAGCCAAAAATATGCGGAAAAAATCAACATTTTAGCAATCAGAAATGTTTTGCTTTCTCATCTGAAGACTTTGAGCCAAACATATTTGAAGTTCTTTATATGCATCTATGAACTTTAAAAGTACATAATCATAACGTGTATCAATTAAGGATATCATTTTGGGGGTTTTTTGCACCCAAGATATACTTGCTTAAGAATTATACAATTTTGGGACGTTGTTTTGCTGTGACTATGAAGTTAAAACTACGAACACTCTGCATAAAAGTATTTAAGTGTGTTTCAGAAAAAGAGGGCCATTTGTTCAGAGTTTCATAACAAATAAATGGAAATAGGTTCTTGTATGCAAATGTAATAAATAATTTTACAGAAAAATAGTTAAGAATGACTTCCTTTGCCAGTTTTTGTAATTACTTCTGAGAACCAAATAATTGTAATAGGTACCAGTTGGAGACCTTTTGGCTTCATTTACTGTGACATTAAGGCAATTTTCTCAATTCCACAGAAAGCATAGTTTCCAGTTAACACATTCACAATATCAATGTTTGCTATCATAAAGACACAGTATTTTAGCGAGATAGATGGTTAGTGAACTTTCCTTACATTTCGATGTGAGAAAGGGGGAAGGGGCAGAATTGTATTGTTTTTCTGTGAAATTTCTCCATCCAAAAAATAACCACCCTCAATCCATGAATCAATGAGTCTTTCGACTCCCCAAAAATGCATGTCTGGAGTAATTGCAGTCAATAGACTATATAAGATGATCAATGGTGGAATACGACCAGTACGGGTAAACTGGTACCTGCTGGGAGCACCAGGTACCGTTTCGGTACAGTGCTCCAGAGGGCCCACCCACCGTCCTTACCTGTATTTGAGCCCATCGGGGCTTTCATGCATGGTACGTACGGTGCCTGTGCAATGCTCTGCAGAACAGCTGGAGCATCGCAGAGCTGTCGCGGACGGTAAGTACCAGTTGCAACCGGTCATACCGGTTGCAACCAAATCCAGAACCCACCACTGAAGATGATAGTTTTAGGGCTAATGGCTAGTATTAATCCAGTCTTTGTCTACGATAGCTCTGCATTTTCAGTGAAGGCCTAAAAAGCATGCTTTTTAAAATTATTATGGGTAGTTTGCCTGCTGCAGCCAGTTCTACAAACTGTTTCCATATCTTTTATTTCAATTGTTCTACTGCACTATACTATATATGTAACAAACATGACTCTAAGGTATGTTAGTACAAATCAATTTCTAGTGGATCATGTTGAGTCAAATAAGAGGAAATGAGGATGGATGTTGATATTGATCCTGTACCCAAAAAGAAGGCATAAGAGAAAAACAAGTCATCTATTTTCGTATTTTAACAAATATTTTATATTTGTAAAAAGACTGTGAACTAGATTGAACTGTGACTCTGAGTAACTGTGTTTTTTGTTTTTCTGTAGTACTCTACTTTTCCCTTTGATTTTTAAAAGCTCTTGTTGAGGCAAGAAACATTAAAAATTAATCTGACCACTCTTGTATTGCTGTTGCTATGACAAATAGATAGTTGAACCACACACGTGATACAGTATAATTAATGGTAAACACAGCAGCCATGTTGAATCACCAAGCCTAGCCCCCAAATAGGATCAATCTCTTTTCCAAATCCCCATTTATACAAGCCAGGAAAACAAGAAACTGTAAGAACCGAGTCTCTTTCTTATGTATGGGGATCATTCCATAGCTCTCTTTATAAAAAGTATGACACTTCAAAAAACAATCATGTTATGTACCAAGTGTTTGGGGGGAAAAAACTTTATTGAATGCCGTGAGATAAAAACTATGAATATTGGGCTGTTACAGAAGCATTACAGGGGGGAAAAAAACCCTTATCCAATTTATTAGGCTTACACTCTTCTAGGCCGAGTGACTTGTTTGGTATTTGGAGATGCTTATTTGTTCAAAGATTTATATAGATAAAAAGTGTCTTTAGAGGTCTGTATAAGTAGTAAATATGAAATTCTAAATGCTGATGAGACATGGAGGATTTTTATATTGTTTTTGGCAGTAGTTACATTTGCAGAATCTAGCTGCACAAGTGGGTTAGCATTTATTCCAGGCAGAATACCCATCCAAGCCCACTATGCAGCAGAATGTTTTAACTGAAGCTAAATCAAATAGGAAAAAAGATCAGTGATTTCTATGTACAGTTTAGTCAGGTTACATTTGTTGGGTTGAATTTCCATTCCAAGTATTATTATCATCCTCTCCATCATCCTGAGTTCTCAATCGGTAGATCTTGCCTTCTTTCTTAAATTCTTCATTCCGTTTTTCCAATACTCGTTTCCTAACTGCTTGTCTGAAAAAGAGAGAGAGATTGAGTACAAATTCCAATAGTGGCAGAATTCAGCCAATACTGATCTAATTTTAATCTTTTTCATTCCAAATTTAAGGAAGTTTCTTTGAGACCAGAAGATTTAATTTGAACATACAGCATGGATTCATGTCAGACCCACACTTATGACCATTTGTTCAGCGATTACTCAAAATTATGATGCTCAAAAAAATGAACTTACAACCTATGCCTCAAGTTATGGCTGTTGCAGTGTCCCTGAAGTCATGTGATCAACATTTGAGTGCTTAGAGCCCTACCCACACTTACGACTCCAGGGGTGCTACAGCTCCTCCACACTGACCCATGCTTTTTGGCTGCACTGCACAGTGGCACCCAGCAGTGGGGCTGGGCTAAAATAGAGAGATCAAGTCCCAGTTGCTCCCACTACCCTATGCTTCACAGGTCCTGCTGTGCCATCCTTTGCCATTCAATTCTCAGTTAATGAAAGCAACCAAAATGTAGGGATTGCAGTTACTTAGTGATGCTGTCATGTAATGTTTCGCTTTTCTTTTTTTTTTCTTCCTGTAAATGTGTTTTTATTTTCCATTTTCATTTTCGTACAGTCACATATATACTGTGCAGAACCGGGGCCATATAAC